CCCAGTGACTTTTTTTTTTTTTTTTTTTTTTTCTGTTTCAGAATAATGATATCAAAGTTAAAAATAAAAACAGGAAAAAGAACTTGAAAGACTCGAGGGTGAGTAACTTTGTAGCTGCTAAAGGAGATCCTGCTGAGCAGGTACCACTTCATCGCTGTTAAAACCCCTTTCAAAATTAGGATTTTTTTTTAGGATTTTTTTTTTCCCCTCTTATTCTCATCAGCCAGGTTTTTATTTTTCTGCCCTGTATTTCTAAAGTTATTAGATAATAAAAATGAAAAGACATCTGAAACGCCTGTAATGGTGAACATGAGAGCAACGGGGGTCATTAAACCACGTGGGGTGAACTCAGACTTGCCTGGGGTGAAGTTGCCTCCAATGTAAAGGAAAATCGATTAAATTTTGATGAAATTGATAAAAAAAAAAGGAGGGGGGGAAGATGTTAGGCTGAGCATCCCAATTGCCTTTCTTTCCAAAAGAAGTTCTGAAGAAGAAATGAGTAATTTTAAATGAATTAAATTTAAATGAATTTAAAATGATCATTGTCCACAAGGTTTGGCAGTTCAGAACCTGGGGGGGGAATTCACAGAACAAAACGGGGTGCAAACAAATTCACTCCTGGTCTTTAGAGGGGGATCCTTTTTGCACGTGGTTTTTGGGAGATTAGAAAAAAAAATATCAAATCAACCTATTTTCCATCAGTCTATTTTAGTATTATCCAGTGGAGTTAGTACAGCCCCACGAGAAGAAGAGAAGATATTTATAGAAGGAAATACTTTGTAAGTACCATCATTTATCTCTTTTTCTGTTTTTTTTTTTTTTTTAAAACTCCAGAGTGCTGGAGAAGAATCCCTTAAAAACACCAAGTCTGGGTTAACTTTCTCTCTTTTATTTATTTTTTTTTTCTAAGATATACAGATTTTACAAATGAACCCTTTGTAATCCCAGAATATCTCCAGGAGCAACTGGAGGAATTTGAAGCTCTCTATGAAGTTTCAAATAGTAACAGTTATAATAATAATAATAATAATCCAGATGCAATCTGTGAGTACTTATATGGGTAAGTATAAATTTCTTGTACTTAGCAACTTCAGGGGTTTCATTTTACTTGGTAATTCTTGCCATTTATTGCATTAAATCCATAATTTGGGGGGTCTGGGGTGTCCATACAGGTACTGAAATACGAGTTTAGAATTAAATGAAAAATGAATTAAATGAAAAAAAAAAAAAAACACCAAAACACTTGGATTAAAAATAACAATTTTTAATTTCTTTTTTTAAAGGTATTTCTCTCAAATCTTGGAAGAACATGGCCCTCTGGAAATTAATAATAAATTACTAATTGGGGAATATGAAAATTTCCCCGAAGGAACTCGAAGGGTTGTGGAGGATCAAGGGGGCCTGGAATCTTTCCTCCTGAAATCCCTCCGTTTCATTATGGTGGATAATCTGATTGGCTTGAGGAAGCACTCGGTCCTTTTCGAGGGAAACACCAACGGAAGTGAAAGTTCTACAGATGGGGACGTGCCAGGAAACCATTCCCAGAAAAACCTGCGGTTAAATCCGGATGCTGAGGAATTCAAGCCCCAGTCCTACCCCGTCCAACCCCATATACCCCCACCACCTGACTTAAATTACGAGACTCTCCAGTACCTGCCCTGTTCCTTCCCTGCTTCCTGGAGATCCAGGAATTCCCTGCAGAGCCAGAGCATCGAATCCACGGAAAACCAGTCGTTGATTGCGGACATTTTACTGAAGGAAAGCTCCGTGTTTGTGCCTCAGACCTCCTGGGGTTACCAATATAGGAGGATATTGCCTGTGCCTTTCCCAGTGCCTGTCCTGCCACGTGTTGCCAGGCAGCCTGGATATATTTATGCTGATCCTGCAGCTCCTCGGGATAATCGGGAATCGGCGATTTCGGTCGGAAAACACATCCCAGCTGAAACCCAAACGTGTGAAAACCCCGGGGCCCACTCGGAGAACTCGGCTGACACGGTGCATAAAGAGAGTTTGGCTGCTCCAGGTAGCTCAGATGAGGCTGAAAATGGTAAACAGGGTATTAAGGTGGAAAAAGGAAGCAAAAGTAAATCCGGAATGAAGAGCAACCCCCATGTGAGGATGGTGGCTGTTCAGGTAAGGGATGAAAATGGGGTATTTATTTGAGAGCTTTGAAGGCCACCAAGAGGATCCCAGGGCTGGAGCAGCTCTGCTGGGAGGAAAGGCTGGCACAGCTGGGATTGTTCAGCTGGACAAGAGAAGCTTTGGGGGGACCTGAGTGTGGCCTTGCAGGGCCTGAAGGGGCTCCAGGAAAGGTGGAGAGAGACTATTTCCAAGGGCTGGAGGGACAGGACAAGGGGGAATGGCTTCAAACTGCCAGAGAGTAGGGATAGATGGGATATTGGGAAGGAACTGCTGGCTGGGAGGGTGGGCAGGCCCTGGCACAGGTTGGGCAGAGAAGCTGTGGCTGCCCCTGGATCCCTGGAAGTGTCCAAGGCCAGGTTGGAGCACCCTGTGCTGGTGGAAGGTGTCCCTGCCCATGGCAGGGTTGGGACAAGTTGATCCTTTAAGTTCCCTTCCAATATAAACCCTCCTGTGATGCCTCAGAACTTCCACTTTCTATGGCTGCTCTTGTTTTTAGTTTGTAATTCTTTAAAGAGCTGCTCACCAAAGTTAGTTGTGCCTCGGATTTGTGCAGAAATTTTGACTGGGCACCCAAGGAGGAGCTGGGGCACAGCTGGTTCCAGCTTTGCTTTAGAGATGAAGGAAAGTCCTTCTGTGCTGTCATTTTAACTTTTGTAGTTCAGTGATTTGTTTTCGCTGTCGCAACATTTGTACATTCCAACAGTTGCTGGTGATGTTTTCACTGTGGTCCCACAGGGGTGGCCCAGGTTTTGGGGTCAGTTCAGGGGGAAACTCCATCACGTTTCCTGAGAGGGCTGTGTCCAGTTCTGGAACCTCCTGGAAGAGACACTGAGGGGCTGGAGCGTGTGCAGGGAAGGGAAGGGAGCTGGGAAGGGGCTGGAGCAGCAGGAGGGGCTGAGGGAGCTGGGGGGGCTCAGCCTGGAGAAAAGGAGGCTCAGGGGGGA